CCATGGATGGAGGTCTTCGTCGGCGGATCTCTTTTTCAGGGCAACCATGGATGGAAGATCTTCATCGACGAACGCATGCCTTTTCCGAACAAATGAGAGCGGAAGGTGAGTCCCGCTCAGGCTTCTTTTTACCGGTTTGGCTAAAAAGAAAAAGATTTCTCATTTATAGAACAAAATAAAAAATCGTAAGTGATAAAAATGAATTAATTGATATTATATAAATTATATGAATGAATAAAATAAATAAGATAATAATGTTTGAAAGCGTTTTAAAAGTTGTCGCAAGTAACTAAAAATTATCACTATCATCATCAAAAACGATTTTTCTTAATAGGCATTTGGCCGTCAAAGTTCGGTTGAAGGGACATAAAATTGGTCAACAAGTTTCTATTTTATTTTTGTTTATCAAAAGTGCGTACAACCAAGATATCGTCATTTTCTTTTATTTCTAAACTCTTAATATTCCATATCAAACTTGTCTTTTTTTTTTCTTTTTTAATTTTTTGTAGTGCCTCCGAAGCTGAAGGGATATTTGCCCGAATTGCTCCACCATTAGATCCGCCTTAGATTTGTATATATAGTACAAAATGTTCATAAACTGCTTATACAATAGTTTAAAGTTCTCTTAAAAGAGAACCTACGAATGCAAGCACATATACTCTACAAAAATAATAATTATATCAAACGCACAATTGGAAGTGCACAATTGTTGGTGATATTTGGAACAGCTCACATATTGCGAAAAGTGCTGTGTCTAGGCCGCGGGAGGCAGCTGACACACAGAAAAATGACCCAGAGAAACATCTAAGAACTGGAGAGATTCACATAATAATAATAATAATAATAATAATAATAATAATAATAATAATAATAATAATCAAGTGTTTTGTAATACAACTCACCATTGGACTGGCAGACCAGGAGAATGCAGGACGCGATAAGCACGGTTTTCATCCACATAATGCTTATTATCGATATCAGCTTCAAAATTCTGGAAATGAAGCATGAAAAGTTTGAAAATATAAGTCATACAATCAACACCTTTCCCACAGCATTCTTAATAGTTCACTTACTAACGGTCGCGCTGTACTCGAATATTTCAGTTTTTTTCGGTAAACAACAAAATTAATTTCTGCAACCTTTCTATTTGAATTCTAACGCTAACAATTAGGATTAATACGTGTAAAAAGTTCCACCACTTACGTTTTCTTAAACAGCTACTCGGGTTTTCTGGTTGTCCACAAGATCAGTTCTCTCTCTTTTTTCTCCCTCTCTCTCTCTCTCACTCTTTCTGTCTCCGCCGATGAAGATCAGTATTACAGCAGTGTGCGTGAGCCGTGCCTTATGTACAACGCCAGCCAGCCCCAGCTGTCACTCAAAGTTTGACTGACAGGCCCTGGATGACCCAGTGGTTAAGATCTTTTATATCCGCTTTTCGTAGAAAAGTCCTGCGACAAATCTATTTGAACAAACTAATGAGAGTTGCGCACGGTCCTTTGTTCTGATTCGTGGACGCTTATCTTACTTCCTTGGCTACGTTAATTATATTTACATACCCATAACCATCAATCCTCTTGAGAAACATTATCTATTTTAATTTGAGTTCATTTCACCGCTCAAAATAAAAAAGAACTCAGGTCGATGCAGCAAAATAGAAAGAAGCGCTAGTGAAAAAACTATAGCAAAAGATCGTAATAGTGTCATTAGCCTAGCTTCTTGTAGCTTGAAATATTTTATGTTTGTTTTAACATCTGAACACGGCTTGTTCCAGATGCAGACGACTGGGTTGCTCTCCGCAGCTGAAAATTCACCTGAAAATTCACTATTCTCCAATATTTTCGATTATCGATTTTGCAGATGTAAGAGACAAACTTTTCAGAGGAGGGGATGTATCCTGGATATTTTTATGAGACAAGAAAGGGCAATATTGTTTTCAGAAGTCAGATTAAGAAGCAATCACCGTTTAGTAAAATCAAAAGCAGGTCAACAACTTCTAGCACGCTAGAATGCAATGTAACTTATGTTGCGAGTGAGTTATGTAAGGTTGAAATACAGCTTCACCTCTCATGTTCATTCGATTAAAACTGGTCTATTGTTGATTCGTTGAGTGGCGTGAGCACCAGTAATTTACAAAGAAAATGTATTGGCGCATTTTCCAGTGTGAGTTTGTCTATAAGGGGGGGGGGGTAGGTAATTTCAAATAGTGTGTCAATTTTACTAAAGATCCAAAGAACGTGTTGTCGGTTATCTGTGACTTTACTTAATCCCCTTGATGTTCGTAGTCTGTTCGTCTTGTAATTCCTTGTGTATATTTTTTCTTAGTTCAGCGTTATCATGGTTATTTCTCAGCTTAGGAATTAACACTTAAAGGTAAGTTGTAAATAGTAGGTAGCATAGCTATTTCCATGACCCCATTCCCATACCTAGATTGATCTAACAGGATCGACCTATCTCCGATGGGATTCTCGCTAAATTGCATTCAGTTATGGCGGCTTAGATGTCAGGCATGTCTATTGAAGCTGCTAAATGATAGTTAATTACCCCCTCATAGCTTCAGTAGGCGTGCAAGATATCAGAGCCCCTTAAGCTGAATGTAACTTAGCGAGAACCCCCGGAGATGGGTCGATCCTGCTAGATAGATAGAGAGAGAGAGAGAGAGAGAGAGAGAGAGAGAATGTGTGTGCGTGTGGGGGGGGGGGGGCGGGGGTTGTAACTCGCATAAATAATTATATGCAACTCGTCACCCTTGTTTTTTTTTATTTCTTTCCTTTATCATTATCAATTTTATGTTTTCGAGTCAAGAATGCATCAATTACCAAATCACACACAACAGCTACGACGCTGACCCAGTGTCCCATATACCGACCTTCGGTATTTACGTATGTGGACTTGAAATTCTCCGAGGTGCAGGTTGTTTACTCTGAATCCTGCTTATTTTGTGTCCTGTTTCTGCAATGTTTGTTTCTTCCGCGTTTGCAGCAAAACAAGCTTTGTGTCCTGTTTCTGCAATGTTTGTTTCTTCCGCGTTTGCAGCAAAACAAGCTTTGTGTCCTGTTTCTAGTTTTGAACACTGTTGCACTTGTTTTAAGACAGTATTATTAACCTTTAAAGGTTACCGATTAAAATCCCAAACTCTCTCTCTCTCTCTCTCTCTCTCTCTCTCCCCCCATTGCTTTGTCAATACGAGTGGTCTATTGCGCCATTAAAACAGTTTTTGGACGGTAAAGGCTGAGCCATTCGTTATCTCTCTCGGATCTCAGTGGACATGGGCTCGACCACGGGGTGTAGCACTGGCCAGAACCGATCACTAGAGTCACGCGATCACAGACTTCATACAGTAGCTTTGTGGTAAAACATGATTAAATACGCATCACGCAGGAGCTGAGACAACTGAGAGAAAGCTAGGGAGCCATGTCAACACGTAGCTCGTGACAGAGAGCAATGGAAGACCGTTGTTGGTGCCCTATACATCAGCTGGGATAAAAGGAATTGATGATGATGATGAACTCATTAGACTGTAAAAAATTAAACATCCAATCTCAGTTTCCTTGTCAGTTTTATTTCTGACAGCGAGTAAATTTCGTGGAAAGAAATTAAATGAATTGTCAAAAAAAAGAAATAATAAGAATAAGAATAAGAAAACAAGCAGCGTCCTGTGTCTGAAAATTATTAAGATGATAATGAGTATATATCACTTCGAGACAGCTTCATACATGTACATTTGTCAAAGTCGGTTACTGTCGTGGTCCCTTTATTTATTTATTTATTTATTTATTTATTTATTTATTTATTTATTTATTTATTTAATACAAAAAAACAGCTCATTTAAAAGACTCTTCCATTTCCCGACAAACAAAACACACAGAAAGCTACAGAAAATGCAATAAGCTTAATATAAAATGCAGCGGGGGTGGTGGGGGGGGGGGGGCAGAAGCCTTTTTTAGATGTCCAGGATATGAATTTTACTAATACTCTTTGTAAAGAATTTTTATGACGCTTTGTTTCAAGTACAGGTGTGTAAGGAAACCATAAATGTTGTGAACATAATGGCTTTATTATTTACAGTTTAATCTTTATCCTAATCCCATAGCCTTTGTGCTTATGAAGTTCTTTATATGTTATCAACGTATGTGAATTCTTAACATTTGTCTGAATTATAAAGCCTCTCTCTCTCTTTCTCTCTGTTGTTTGTTTGTTTGTTTTAAAAGTACACACGCCTTTAGACAACATCTGTGGAAAGGTGAAGGATTCGTCCTTGAAAGCACTCCAAATTCTTCAATCGTAATTTATTTTGACACAAGATCCGCGAACCAATGTATTGTGTAGTTCCTTGACCATGAATTTTGCAGCAAAATATTTCCACGAACTCGACTTCAAAACAACATTCTTGCACAACCAACCTCTTTTTCAACGGGCTCGTCTTGCTGAAGTCCGCCTTCTGGAAGGAGTTCCTGCACAGCGTCATTTAGAATATAACAGGCTGGTTGTTTTCGTACTCTGAACGAGGCTCTGGTGTGATTGTTTTCACCCTGAGAAGCTCCGCCCACAGGATTGAACGATCTCTGGTTTAAAGGCGGTCAATTTACAAGGCGCGCATTTAGTAGTAAGCTGTCGGCTGGCTGGGGCTTTTCATCATTCTTAACATGTTCAACCTTTTAATTTTTGTTTTTACGCTTTTCGCTCTCTCCTCGGCGGAGACGGACCGTTACGATGTTACTCTGAAGATACCAAACAAAGCTTTTGATGGGGTAAGCGTCTATTGCTTGAATTTTATTTAAGGATTTAGAAGAATCTAAACGTAGTAAATGAACTGATTTTCTAGTGAACAATATTTTTGAAATAGCATCGTATTATGAAAATGTTAAGACGGGAGTACCCCCTCCCCCAAATATTGTCTTCTATTTAACAGACTGAATCTTATTTGTCAGATCTCCCAACTATTCCTAGAATTATTTAATTCATTTAAATTCAAGAAATTGAAATTTGAAATTGCTACGCTTCTTCTCTGGCTGCTGTTTATAACAGTAGCACTAAACCACAGAAACCACAGATGATGAATGAAACTTTCATTTGCGCACAGATCCGTAGTTTAGAATAAATTTTAACTAATTTGTTTGGTGACTGATTTTAGCTGTTTCTCTTCTGACTTTATCTGACTTCACTGTCGGAAGTAAATGTATAATTATTGAGTCCATTTATGTAGTCTTTGGCCTCTTTTATGAGAATCCCCCCCCCCCCTTTGAATGTTCTGGACATGAATATAGAGACAGCCTTCAAGCAAACATATTATTTCGACCTTTACTAGTAAAACTCTCATTAAGCAACACCAATGAAGGCATATCGTCGAGGGGTGGGGCACATGTTCTACCAACCTAAATATTCAAATGAATGAAATCAGATTTGAAATCACATGAAAGTCCACTTAATGTTTCACATAGTTACTACGCAGATTGAATTTTTTCTTATTATTTCTTTATTTCTATATTCTGTCATTTCACTTATAGGAAATATGGATGGCCTGCACGACAACGACTCTCAAAGACGTAAAACAGTTTGTCAGTAAGTACATGTAGATGATAAGTTTAGGTTTTGTAATGCCATGCAAAGAAGAAAACCCACCTCAAGTTATTAAGGGAAGAGAGCGAAGAATTAACAAAATTGTTTTAAAATAAAACCATTATGCATCATGTTATTCCAGAATGGTAAAGCAACATGCAATCGTACACCTGTACATATTACTATAAAGAACAGGGAACTCTATCTCTCTCTCTTTGTGTGTCTGCGTGTAGATGTCTGCGTGTTTTTTTTTTTTTTTTTTTGTCAAAACCCATATCAAGTTTCTTATGTTAATGCAGGCTTACTTTCAAAACGACTATCATATTAATATTATTTTTTCAGCAAACTTTCAGCCAGTTGCCAACCCCGGGATAGTCCACCACATGAGCATCCACGTGTGTGAAAAACCCTTCTCCACCGACCCGTACTGGTGAGTTGAGGGCTTCAAAAAGTTAATTTTTTAATAAGATAGATGACAGTCGACGCATTATTCATAGTATTGTTCAAAGATAGAACAAATAAAGTCGTATAGCTGAGAAGATTCTACTGGTTTTGAGATGAATGACAGGAAAGATCACACATTAAAAAGATATCTCATGACTGTCCTAAATGAAAATTGCTGAATAAGCTTGATATATTCTTATAATATTATTATCATAATATTATTATTATTATTATTATTATTATTATTATTATTATTGCTGTTGTTGCTGTTGTTGTTGTTTTGTTTATTTGCCTAAGAGGAAAAAATTCCGCATGCCTAATTCAGCCTATTATACGGCCCGGTTTTCGTATTTCAGGGCCTGTGTAGATAAAAACCGGGTATGCGGACCGAGTGGGAGATTGCCATTGTTTGAGTGGGGACGAGATGCGCCCGGCTGGAAAATACCCGAAGGTGAGCGAAAGCGCACTGGTAGTTGTCACCGGGAGTTACGTGTGACATTCTGTTTGTAAATACTGTTTATTGAACTTTTTTGTCGGTAATTGTCGGATCTATAATTGATAGGATTTTTGTTGCAATAAACAATTTGCATCCTTGTACCGGTTCCGCTATTGCATGGGCGATGAAAGCGATTTATTTGCCCCTGCTGCCAGCTGCCCTGTCATGGCGAGTGCGACAACGCGGTCAGTTATGTAGGTGTTACCAAAAATAACGTGCCTACTCTTCCTGATTGTCCTTTTCCGTGTGACACGGTATTTTAGTTGCAACAATCATTGGTTTGTGTCCAGTGATACGATCCCTCAACTTTGAACAGCATCTGGTCATGCTTTGGCGAGGAGGATTCGCGGTTTGCGTTGTTCTTGGCCATTTATTAGGCAAAAGTTTAGAAAAAGGGTATGAGCTGGGTGTTCAATGTTGCCTATAATTTTTCTCGCTTTATTTTAATTTCTAACCTCTCCAAGTGCATAAATTGAACAGGGTGAAGATCTTCAAGAATTATATCGCTGGCCGTTTTCAGGGTCTTTCCCAATTATCATTTCCCAATGCCATAATCATCAACTGAGGCCCGCCCGTACCACTCAGTTACCGCGTACGTTCAAATATCGCCGTTAAAAAACGCATTTTGGATAATAGCATTCAATTTCCTTATATAATACAGGCCTTTGCCGCTTTTTATACAAGTTAGCATAAATTTACCGTGTTCATTGAAATAATTCCAATAACACACCTATAAAAGTTTATAAAAAGACACATTTTGGATAAAAGCATTCAATTTCCTTATGAAATGCCTATGTCACCGTAATACGTAACAAGGTGTGGGATAAGATGCACAGAATGGTAATGTGTCTTGATCACATGGTTTTGAATTCTCAAAACATCACATTGGATTTGAAGAAACTCATGCGTTTTCGTACGCGGGGCATTTACATTTAATAAACATGTTCTTGAATTCTTAATTAGTAATTAACGTTATCAATCTCTAGGTACACTGTTTGTCTTTATTTTGTTATTCTCTTTATTTATTTATTTTTCATTTTCATTCATTATTTAATTTATTTTATCCAGGTTACGGAATTCCTGTAGATCGCGACCATCTTCACGTTGTTCTTCAAATACATATGAAGGAAGACATAAAAGGTAATTAGCCTGCCCCTCCTTTTCTGTGCTTTTTAAGGGGCATCAGTTCAAAAGTTTTAGTTATATGGAATAAAAAGCTTTAAGAAATTATAAATCAAATAGAAAAAATAGAAAAAGCATTGTAATGAAGAGTATTGTGGGTTAAATAGAGAAAAAAATATGCGTCCGTTCTTTTAGACTTCTCTTCCGCAAATAACACAGAGTTGATTTAAATTGTCTTAATTTTACATATGTTTTTACTTCAAATAACGCCTTAAGTGTTGACTTTCATCAGGGAATGGAGCTTAACATTGAAATATTGGGGAAATTATGATTGTATCTTTGATTACACAGTAGGCTATAGCTGATGAAATACTTTGCTTGATTTTAATTTTTTATTTTCATTTTTTTTAGCTTCTGCCACCGGGCCTCTGGACTTCAGCGGTCTAAGAGTGTCCCTGAGAACGACTCAGCCTCAGTATGAGATCGCCATGGGGGTGCTAGGGAACGTGGGATACGTGCCGGCTAAAACTGGAGGTAAGCCCTCCCCCCTCCCTCTCTCTCTGTGTGTGTGTGTGTGTGTGTGTGCGTGTGTGTGTGTGTGTAAATGAATACTCAATTGTGTTTATATTAGTTTCAGATAAGTTGCTCATGAAGTAGACCTACAAACGTCCTTAAATAAATAAATAAACAATTTATTTAATTTAAAAAAATTACAATGTTCATATATGCACAAATGTTTAACACAAAATATTCTATTATTTCAGCCGCCACCACGGACTCTGCCTGCAAGTGGCCGCTGCCCATGACGGTGCCTCTGGCCGCCTACTCCCTCCACACACACAATCTAGGTAAAAATGGATGCTTTCTGCAATTTAATTTAAATCAAAATGGAGATTGATTTCAAAATATTACAGCTGATGCTTATGAATGTAAGTTGTGCATTCTTTTCCGAGAGTTTTAGACAAAGAGAAGCATTATTTAGCCGAAATACAACGAAAACGCTGCCAGTATATGACATTTTTTCCCTCCGAACGGCCTAAAGCGCCATCTAAGGTCATAATCAGTTCTCCATTCTTTTGCCACCAGGTCGCGCTGTGTCCGCCTACATAATTCGCAATGGTGAATGGATTGAGATTGGTCGAGGTGACCCTGGATATCCAGAGGTGATTATAGTGTTAATGTATAGAGTGTTCTCAGCTATAGATCTGTGGCCATTGTCAAAAAATAACACAAGTCCGAAAATTGTTTTACTTCATAGATCAGAATTTTAGAATTTTTGTTTAAAAAAATTAATTTATCGATAAATCAGTAGTAGTCCAATTTATTAAATCGCTGCGCCAGTTTTTTTTTTTACAATAGCATGGTAGACTTGGCTAATGTTTTTGGGCTAAAGCTCTTTAATGAAGCGAAAATTTTTAAAAACGAAAATTTTATCATAGACAAGAATGTGAGACGTCGAAAATGCGTTTAAATTCTTCTTGCAGGGGCCAGCTGGGAGGGGGGTATTTGAGACAGAAGTTAGATTCAAGACCTGATAACTGTAGTGATTGGTCTAGATACATTCTACGTACCTTAATCTTTAGAAATAGCAATGGTTTAACCCATTTTCTTTCTGTCCACTACAGATGGTGATGGACATTGCTGACAGAGGACTGACCATTCGACCAGGAGATATTCTGGTAAGATAGCGTCCGCTTAGCAAAGAGTAATAGATGTATTTTGAAGTAATAGTTATTTTAATTTGTTTAAGTTTTATTTCCGTAGAATAAATATATTTGCAGGTTAAACAAATCACTAAAACGATAACGTTTTTTCTTTTTATATCGGGATAAAGAAGCGAATTTGTCTACTGTACTTTTGTCTGAACAGTTATCAGTAATCTGTTTTCTGGTGCAAGGAATTCATTATTTTCTTTTTTCTTTTTCAATTAGGCTGCAAGATGCACCTTCGACAATGACCAAGATCATGATGTGAAGTTTGGGTAAGTATTGTAAAGATTACGTTTTAACCCATATGCCTGACAGCGTAAAAAAGTGTACTCAAAAATATCAAGACGGGGATGGGTAAAAAATATTTTTTTAAAACTGCTGTTCCTCATCCAAAAATTAAAATATCGGTGCAATTTAGGAAAAATTAGTTTCTAGAAGCATACAGGATTGCGTGTTCTGCCATTTTGGAAAAGGTGAAGAGAACTGCAACCCTTGTTTTATTTCATTTAAAAATGGACCCGTTACTGAAAATTTTAATTTATTTTAATTTTACAATGTGAAAAACCAGTATTTATTCTATCATAGCTCTTGCTTTCTTTCTTTATTTTTCGGTTGACTGATTTATTAATTGGTTTATTGATTGATTGATTTTCCCTGCAGCTCCGAGCACGGCGGTGAGATGTGCAACGTGTACCTGCACTATGGCGTCAGCAGCGACACCCCTGCCCATCAGCGCATGCTCCAATGTTCGACTAACGCCCAGAAGTTTCACTGGGACACGTACTTCGAGTCCACGCCAGCCGACGCCTCAGACCCCAACGGGGATACTGACCAGGCTAGAATGGTCAAGCGTCTAGGTCTGGTCAAAGTGCCATATTAATTGTTTGAGATTGAGTTTATTAAAGTATGCTGGATGACAGTGCATAAAAGAATTCAAAGTGCGTCGATATCAAGCTTAAAGAGTTGATTTCAAGAAGCTGCAGAATAAATGCATTTATTGAGAAAAACAATTGACTGTAAATTGAGGATTTTGGAGACCCCACAATTAAATTCACTACCTCTGTTTTCTTATTGTATTTTCTAAATTTATTCAGCCAATCGGTCAACCTCGATAAGTCCCGTATCCACTGTTCTAGGTATGCGCTCAACAGAGATCTCCCGAATAGTCATCTTGTTTTAGTGTTGGGTGTATTTTGAGCATACGCCCTTCACGCTCATTGTAATTAAAAGCAATGACAAGTACCTGTTGCTTTGATACGTGCGCTGCCTTTTGTTTTACATAATATGATAACATATTTGTTTTGTTGTTAATTGTAATTGATCAAATAAACCAATTTGATGTATTTACGTGCCTCGCGACTTTTTATCATGTCAACAATAGTTACTGAGATAAGGCTATGTGAGAGAAATATGGTGCAAGGTATGTGTTGATTAAAATTTGAAGAAATCATTCTTTTTCTCCATAAAGAAATCCTTGCACCCCCCCCCCCCAAAAAAAAAAATAAAAAAAATAAAAAATAAGTACTTTGTTTGGTTTGTTAATTTGGATACGTTGGCAAGAAAATGACTCCCTGGAATGATTTCTGTTGTAGGAGTTTGTATCAAAACTTGTGGTAATCCAAAGCAATAACAACCCTCTTCAAATCTATTTAAAAGTGATATTACGCACGAGTCGGAAGCCGAAGTCAGCCAGAGGTCACAAACCAGTGTGATTTAACCCTGTCAGAAAAATATTCTCTTGATTTAACAAAAAAAAAAAAAAATTTAGGCCTATAAGGAAATACATCAGAAGTCATTAAAATGCATGTATTTCAAGGTTTTAGTAAGTTCTTAAAACAATAGTGATTTTAATTTCTATCGTAAATGAGTGTTCAACACCACATAGCCTGCTGTAGAAATAACAGATTCCACTCAATCAATCGCAAAAATGCCGTGACCAGATCCCAGTGAAGGCACCTTGTATCAAAAATGTCCCCTTCATGTAACGAATTACTTTCTAATTTTGATTCGTGTAGTACTTGTTGTCATTCGCGTTATGACATCTTTAAAGCGGTAGTTTGGTGTTATCTACCGCGTTTGTAGCGACCCAGCCTACGGTTTATCGGAGAATTTAGAAACCGTGAATAAACAACGTCCACACGCGTGCATGTCTTCCACTATGGATACACAACTTCGTGATTGAAAGATTTTAACCCTCTTTCACAGCTCAGGCAGTTAATGACCTGAAAATTTTCACTATTTATTTAATATATAGTTTTTAAATAATTTTCTTTAAAATGCAGTAGTTCTTAATAGTAATGCAAAATGTTTTTGTAGGTTCGTTAGCTTATGTGTAATGATTATGTTAGTTCGACTCATTAAAATTTACAATAAAGCACAGACACTTAAAATCTAGGTCGTTGCTACATAAGCGATGAATTTCGGTTAGCCTAATCCAAAATAATTCTATATATTGCTTGCTAGAAGATAAAACAATTCCACACCCTTTTAGGTATGTTTCGCTATATAAATTAAATCTTGCTACAAATATTTTCATCATGCATATACCAATGTTTAAATATCGAGCTAAAACGCTTTAAACGGAGTCCGCGCAAGAGGGCAAATTAATCCCAGCTACCAAAAGTTATCGGAGAATAGGGGTGTTTCACTTTTATAAAACAGAAGATCGTGTTAGCAGCGGAAGGAGCGTTGCCGAAAAAAAACAAAATTTAGGTAGGAAATAATTCGACATTTTTAAATATTGTCTTTAAATTAAGAACTAGGAAAATAAACACGAGTTAATATAACGTAAAAGGTCAGGGTTCTCTTAAGCGACAAGTATGATTGATTTCATGGCTTTTTCTAGTAGTCTTTCATTCAAATTACAATTTCTCATTTAAATTGAAACGGTAGACAAGCAGCATACACCTCAAGATGCACACCTCGCTGACAGTAACCCTACTTATCGTCTGCGCTCTGCATTTGATCGTCTGCGCGCCTTCTCCATCCCTGATGAAGGAACTGAAAAATCTTTACGAAGCCGAAGGTACAATTATATTGACACAGAAATTGATTTCAATATATAAACCTAATATATATAATCCCGCTTTATATTTACGTTTTCACTTTTACATTTTTGAGGCAACCGGTTACGGATTTACAGAATTTAGAATTATGACTTGGACAGATCTTTGGGATTAATCTTAAGGAAACAGTAGCACAAAGCTTCAAAGCTGTAATCATTAAATTCCCATAATGTACCAAAGGACAATCAAAAAACATTAAAAGTGAATCACCGAATTAAAGAAGTATAAATTGGACATTATAAAATCATTTGACACCATTTTTACGTTATTTTCGAAGTCGACGAGATTTCAGTGCGAGATGAGCTTACAAAGGACTCCGCCGTGAGGAGAGCAGATCCTCAGGCAGAAAATAGGCCGCTTCGACCTGGGGAAGGTAAATCTTACCGATTTGTGTCGTTTCAGAGAGATCTAGAGAGAGAGAGAGAGAGAGAGAGAGAGAGAATGAATATTTGGAAATTCTCTTGGAACTCTGCTTATGATTCGGGCATCAAATCTAGAGAGATCGATTTGAATCGGCGGAGATAGTCCATTTGAAGTCAAGAGATAATATTTTTATCTTAAACTGTTAATGAATTATGACATCCATTGTGTGCTTTAAAGTAAAGAATGTGTGTGTGCGTGCGTGCGTATGTGTGTGTGTGTGTGTGTGTGTGACTATAGGTTCAACTAATATTTCTTAACGGCATAGTAAAGCACAAATTTTAAGTCGGGGAGTATTGCATATTTATGTTATCTGATATATCCCGACCTCTTCAAAATTTTTATATTCTTAAAGTATAAAAACAAGGTACAAAAAACCGAGAGAAAACCTACCCTCTACCAGGGCGACAGATTGATTTTTCACATATGTCTCTAGATAAATAGTCAGTCATTTGGCTGTCTGGCTTTTTCCATTTTCCCTATATAATCTGCCACCCTGGAAGAGGGTAGGGGAAACCCAACTTGTAGAGCTCTTTCAACACGTGTATATGTGTGATCCTTCCACACCCCGGGTTTCAGGAGTTATTGGGGACCCAGCTCTATCACATAGAACTACTAGTGGGAGTCAGTTACTACTAACTGAGATTCTCAGCGTGCCCTTTCTAACTGTAAACTCTATATCTCTAGGCTACGATCCTTGCGAGTTTGAAGGCACTTTCCGTGAGTATGGAGAGAAGTTTGAGGTGGTGGACAAGGTACTGAAATGCCGCAAGACGTGCTACTGTCAGGGGAGCACTATCGGCGTGTTCTGTCACCCATGTAAGGTAAGTAGGCGATTAATTCTCGACGTCTGTTCTACCAAGTTATTAAATGCCCAGTTAAAATTTTATTTATTATTAAAAAAACAACAAAAAACGTTTAGCATTTTTACTTAAAAGGGGCAAAAAACGATAGATTTCTATGCTAACATTTTATTTAAGCGTTCATGAAGGTTACTAGGCATCCAAATGGGATAGTGTGTGCATATTTTCTATTTAAGGGCTTGCAATGTCAATACCTGATTCATATTTCACGGGGAGGGTCTTGTTCAGAAAAAGTGGACCATTTACCCACCAAAATGACCCAGCTAAAGAAACGAAATACAACCCCAATTTGATAACCTCTTCTGACCAAAAAGGTGGTTCTTTTCAGGGGCGGATCCAGAGATATTTTCTGACAGTCTTCCAAATTATCTTTATTACCATCCTCCATTTTGACCGTCTTCCGACAGAAAAAATAGATAGGCCCTACCTGTCAATGTAAACTTAAAAGTCTGACCGTCTTCCAGAAGACCCAGAAGACGGCCTAAATCCGCCCCTGCTTTTGACCCCCCCCCCCCCCCCACTCACCACCATTGACAGACATTGAAAGTCTAGACAAGATGACAAACATTAACAACCGTGTATTTTAATTGACAAAGACAAAAGTTAATCTTTTCCTAATAACAAACCGTATTATTTCCAACGTCTCCTCTGTTTCAGGCCTGAAGAGTTTAAACTTAGTTCCGTTTACTTCAAGCGAAAAGGATTACTTTCCATGTTAGACAGATACACCGGGTCGAGATATAGGCCTACGAGCTTTAAATATCACACAGATTTATTTCTTGTTGTCCATTAATCTCTGTATAAACTGCTTCTGTATTCGTTCCTTATCAAAAGAAAAAAAGAGACATCCGCATAGAATGTTTAAATGACTTTGCAGTAATTGTGTAATTAGAGGAAATATTTCTTAGTTTGTAACACATTCCGTCATTGACACAGTAGTACCAAGACGTCATATAGGAGCCTACTTCTCAAAAACAGATTTTTAGATGCCATTTGTAGAAATATGTGTCCAATAAAGTTTTAAAGACAACACATACATGTATAGCACATTGCACGGGTTTTTCTCATCTACTTTCCGCACATCTGACATTTCATTAGATCAGAAATTCGCTTCCTATATTTAATAACAAATAAAAAATACGGCTAACAATGACTGAGGGTTGCAATTGATCACTCCAAAATCATTTGACGTAAAACATGCTAAACTTTCTTCCACAAAACATTGAATAAAAAGGGACTTAAGGCACGTGCAAGCATGAAATTAAACCATTTTATCAATTTTCATATGAAATTCAAAATAATCATATGTGGCTGTGATAAAAACTGATATCATCCGGGTCTTTCGTGAATTGGCAAACTTTTCATATAGCACATAAACGTGCTCCACATGAAGGTGGCGCTACTGAGAAAGAGGAGCCTCCTGTCTGGTGGCACATACTTGTAGTTGATGAACTGGACGAAAGGGAAGTACATGCATCTGACCTAGAGAAATTGAAACAAGATCGAAAGTTTCGAAAGAAGACAAATAATATGAAATAAAACATCAGATACGGTAATTTTCCTCGCCTTTGTTGCAATATAAATGCCTAATCACACTGAACATCTGTTTTTATCTTAAAACAGGTTTGGGTATACTTGTACCCTGTACGTATGAAAAGTCTGTTGATTAAATTTAATGTTAATATTATATTTTCATAAATAAAGTGTCTAATTGATTTATTTTTATTTCATTATTATTATTTTTTTTTTACGAAAAGAAGACTATATTACATTATATTACAGTGAACATATTTACCTCATAAGTTTTAAAGAATTTTTCGTGCAGCTCTTCCCAACTTTCTTTTAAACTTCTTCTCTCGAATAAATTATTAGCTTAAAAGGAACACAAAAGGAAAGATAAGCATAGGCCTATGTAATGGAAAATAAAGAAAAAAGGAATTAAGATGTTTTACAAATGGACGATATTTTTTCTCTCTCTGTCTCTCTACTTGAAACTAAAGTGAGTTTCAAAGGATTTGCCTCATTATATCAACAGCGCCACCACCAGAGGGCGATAAGACCGATAAGGTAGTAGATCAAACATTAAAAATCAACCATACTAATCCAAGACAATCCACTCACCACAATAAAACGTGGTGATCGCAATGGGGCCAAACACCACCTGTTCCACCAAAACTCTCCGAGCCACGGCGACAAAAGTTCTACTGGGAGAGAATATCCTCTCGGCAATCCGAACCCAAGTGAAGTTCAGTGGCCCGATGAAGATACAACCCGCTAAGCTGCGCCTGAGCGTCTCTAAGCCGTCATATGGTCTCTTATGGCGGTCAATAACTATCTGGTCAACTATATCCGCACCCGTGTAAATGGATCCATAACTTAACATGCTTTTTAGTACGGGGTACGACTTCCATATTCTATACAGTTTCCCCATGTCTTTCCAGAAGTCCCGTAGTTTCCCAGGTTCTTATACTTTCCGGAACATCGGAACATTGGACTGATTCAAGATTGAAATGTGTAATGATCGTCTTTATCAGCCTTTATCACTTTGTCCCATACAGCAGCCACAGCAGTGTGCGGTAGCTTTACTTGCCCTGTCCTTTGTAGGCCTATACTGACTATATAACATAGTGCCGATATAAACCATTACCTGTTTCGTTTTCCAGCCAAGTTCTATAAATAGGCCGTTACGGCGAAAAACCTACTAACTGTTGGCCCTACCTTATTTTTAAATAATTTCTTCGCAGGGACAGTACATATTGTATGGTGAAACGAGACACTGTTCAGATTACGTTTGTTATACATTTCGAGAGCTCAAGCAAACGTACAAAGGGTGGGGTAGACTGGTGAAGCGTGGGAAAATTATAAATAGAAGAGGTGGGATCGTCGGGTCAATTCCACCCCCCCTCCCCTCTCTCTCTCTCTCTCTCTCTCTGTCTGTGGGCAATACGGCTTTTTTCCAAAGTTTGCTCATAGATTTTCTTCGTCTAAGCGACCAAATATCGACAAGGAAGTCCGCGTGTTCTACACCTGGGACAATCCATTCTTTGAAGTTTTAATCCGATTCTCAACTTATCTTCCCGTATCATTTCTCAGTCTCCTTGTCTCATTGACTACAAACTGAGATTAATTCTTATCAATATTAGTGTATAACTACCCTAGTGAGCCTATACATTGTGATAACACCTGCAGTTTGTCCGAAAATACGTCGCCGAGCGAATGCTTTTTTCGTAAAACATTCGAAGGGACAACGTACATGTACAAAGGTGTCTTACAAGGACGCCATCATATATTTTAAATCAGCTTGCGTTGTGTATTTATACATTTTAATGTATTATTTTAATGATTAAAATCAACAACGGTTAAGTACTAGTGTCTCTAGGCCTGTTATGGTTATCCCAAAAAACTTCAAAGAATGAATTGTCCCAATTACGTGCAGATCCCGCGAATTTCTTCGTGAGATTTATCTAATTTGGTCACTTAGAACGAACAAAAATTGTGAGCAAAGTTTGAAAAACGGCCGTATTGCCCAGAGAGAGAAGGGGGTGGGGGGTCAGACGTTCCCTCCCAATCTCCGACCCGACCTGAGAACGATTGATGTGTAACAGTAGCGAAACGAGCGGAAATTCAGCATCCATTTTTTTATTTAAAGAGAAAGATTGAGTAGGCCCTGTAACTCGAATATTCTGCTCATTTTTCATCAAATTATTGTTATAGTTAAATTTACTCCGGTCGCATTCAACTTTGTTGTAACTTTATTCGCTTTTAACTGACTGAAGCTGACGGTTTTATTATTTCTTCTGTTCAGGAGGTACCGATTTTTCCAGTTGGTTTGTTAGTTAACTCAAAAAAGTTCTAGATGAATACTGATTAAAAATTTCGGAAATATAATTACTTAAAATCGATAAAATTATGGTGGTTATAGTGGGGATCAATGCTCTCTAACTGCTTTTCGTAACTGTATAAGTCTGGATCGAGTTCTGAAGATAATTTACCACTCAGTGCAGTCATTAATGTGCTAGCCGCTATACACTGCTTTATTTCTTAGCTGTAAGGTGCAAAAAAATTTTCATTTTTGAGACAATCTAAATTATTTTCAGGAGGTGACTGTGCCCTAGCATCATACACCAGTGTAAGACTTTATTTGTTTTATACTTTCAACAAAAATATCATTATTTCTTTAACAGTTTTAATAATCCCATACCAATGCATCAAATAATATGAAGCTATAACATATGTAACAAGTTTTTTTATTAACAGAAAGGTAACAGTACTTTAAGGTTAAGATATAATCATATCTTAGTAAATATTGTAAATTGTGCATATTCAATAACATTAATAACATTAATTGCAATAAATTGTAATAAAGTTAACTGCATAACAAATATATTAATGGATAAGTAAATATAGTTTTACTTTGTTTCACTTAGTTAAACAATCAGAAGTTTAAATATATAGAACCATGATCTATGTAATAAGTCTTATTCATAGAAATGTAGCAGTAATTTAAAGGTCAAGAAATATAAATGAGTAAATATGGTGATCTGTGCGTACATGAATTTAACAAATAATTAATATGCAAGTTTGGCCTCAATTAAATAGTTAACATAAGGGTGCCAGAAATTGCAATGATATAATTTGGAAAAAGATGGTTTTTTTTTTCTTAAAAATGCAAATATATAAACCATTTTTTGCAAATATACAAACCTTTTCTCTAACAGTTCTTTAAATTTGTTTTAAATAAGTCTAAAGTCAATAGCATTCATCAAAAGTTAAAAGAATCAAAATCACAAATTTATCGAAAAAAATCCTTTCTCCATAAAAGGAGATCCGACCAGAAGTTGCATGCACAGTAAAAGACCAGAAATCTCCAAAAATGAGAAGATTGCACCACCTGATGGGGTAAAACTGATGTATGAAAATGGGTCATAAAACAGCATCACAAAGGATTTCTATTATTCATAAAATTAAAAATCAGTATTCATTGATAAAATCTCTCTAAAAAGTAATTCAAGGCTGCCCTACTACTTACTCTCCAGATGTACAATGGTCATGACGATTTGCAATATCACTATAGATAAACGCAGTGAACTGCTTGCGTGAAAACCGACATCTTTAAATTATGATCTACATATTTCTTACTGTCACTCCTGGACGGGAAGATTTTTCATATAGCACATAAACGTACTCCACAAAAAGGTGGCGCTGCTGAGAAACAGTATCCTTCTGCTGGCTGATATATACTTATAGTTTATGAACTGAACCATGGGGAAATAAACACATCCTGCCTGAAATAAGAAAAGGTCATACGAGGGCAATGAAGGATTTCATTGGGTCATTTCACATTGAGCGATATATCTTAGTGGTCCATATGTAGTTGCATTGCTATGGAGAAAGTTTGGCCTCTACTGGTATTCATGAGTATCAGATAAGACGACTTCATATCTTTTAACTATCCTAACTGTAAATCTACTATCTATCTGCCTTTGACAAGTGGATAATATAGCAAACTGCACTTAGCTTTTTTACCTTGAAGGACGTCCAGAACTTATCCCTGAGCTCTTTCCAACTTTCTTCAAAACTTCTCCCTTCTAGTAAATTGTTAGCTAAAATGCAAATAAAAATAATTAAGTTTTCTTGGACTTTACAAAATTCTTTTCTTTGTCACACAGAGACAAAATATGGGTAAAATAGGTTTTTTAAAATAATACTTGAAAAGTTTCCATGTTGGTTCTTCTTCATCATTCTTTTTTTAATTTTTTCTAGAACAAAATGCTTGGTGTTTGTGCAAAATAAATATTAAATAAACTGTAAACCTTTCTGCTAATAATAAGAACACAACAAAAACAGAAATGAGTAATCATCTTAGTTTGAAATTTTCTTGCAAGAAGATTTTAAATGGTTGCTGAGACAGTCATAATTTGTCCTAGGGTTCCCTTTGGACTTCAAATAGATTAAGTAGCCTTTTGGATTTGAAAAAAGTAATTTGTGACCCAGGCCTCCTCACTTACAAGAATAAAAAGCAGAAATGGCCACTGGTGCAAACACCAACTGTTCCACAAAAACTCTCCTTAAGATATACAGAGAAGATCTATTTGGTAAGAATATCCTATCAGCAATTCGTAACCAGGTGAAAACCAAGGGACCGATGAAAAGAAATCCAGCTAAGCTTCGTCTCAGTGTAACAGTGCCATGGTATTCCCTCTTCTTGTGATCGATGATCAGTTGATCGTTGATGTCAGCAGCAGCGTAGATTGTGCCATAACTCAGCATGCTTTTTAATACTGGATATCTCCTCCATAACCCAGAGATGAAATTCCTTACTCTGCTCATTAAAAGTCTCTCTGAATTTATGGAAAATACATGTAATACTGGTATGGTGTGTCACACTTCCTGGTATCTCTTATCCATATCTCATCACATGAATGATGCCTGTTGCTTCTGAAAATTAAAAATATAACAAATTAAAAGATAAAATAACTCGTACAATGTTATAGATATGGAGTAAACTTATAGCTGCAAAGCTAATGTTTCCTTTCAATTTATACTCGACATGAAATATAATTTATTGTATTGTATTGTATACTTTATAAACTCATGGAATACACTGTATATGTACTCCCAGTAAACAAACTCCTTTATGTTTGGATGTTATTCACTGGCAACAAAACATTTTTCAGAGAGGGTTATGTGGTAAAAGTAATTGATTCATACAGTGCTTACATACTAGGTATAACATCACCTCCTCCAACGTGATCCATTGACACGGGGTACTTCAAGTTAATAATTTAACCAGCACAGCAGCGATCTCACTTATTTAGAAATATCTTACAGAAGTTTTCAGTAAAGCAACACAGTCAAGTGAGGAGTCTGTTTGTGAGTTCAGCCTACATGTTAAAATAGGTGAACAATGAGAATCAATTTTATAAATTTTACTCAAATTTCCCACATTCCTGTTTCAATTTGAAAGAGGTTACCTGACCCAGGTTACCTGTATTTGTGCGTTTGCTTGAGTCTATCTGTGGCAGGAACACAGCTGGGTTTCATAATCCGACAGCGCAGCCACTAGCTTCGATTAACTGACCTTTCACGTTAACGCCAACAGAAGCTTTAGATAAAGATAATTACAGGTGATGTAGATAGATGTGATTGAACCAGCGCCACTGGATACGATTATGTTGAAAACGAGTCACCGTGTCGAAAACGAGTCCACGTCAACTTCCGGTTCCAAGTTTCACGGTCTCGAGACCTTTCGCGTTGAAGGTAACAAAAATGCATCGAATTTATCTATTAATGGCTGATAAAGGATAATTTTATGCCGCTTTAATCGTGTGTCAGTGAAAAGAGAGCAAAATGGTTTCAATGCTACGGGTTTGTCTCGTTCTGTATTTGACTTTGGTGGTTGGGATTTTCGCCGATAATGCTACTCCACCGCCAATCAAAAAGGTTACGGCGAAGCCAACTGAGGCGCCGAAGACCACAACAACATCACCTTCCCCGTCACCGACGACAACTCCAGTGGCTAGTAATGGAAATGAAACCATTGGAAATGCTAGGTGAGTCGACGTACATGTGAGAATATCAGTCAGTAAAATTTGTTTTCATGATTAAAACGTTATATATCTCCACCGACCAGAGCAGAGGAAAGAATGCGATAAGATCTATATTTAACACCTGGTTTCGTGTCACAAACGCATTTTCATCCACCTCGTTTGCAGTCAAGATATGCTAGGAAAATTGATTATTAAGATAATCGGACATCTATAATAAACCAGCAGTGACAACAGGTGTTGATTGTTTATAGATGGCAGTAATTTTACCATCATAATCATGTAAGATACTATATCTTGTTTTCATCAACCCATGCAATTACAGTCAGCAAACACACCATACAAATATACATTTATAGATATATATCATTCATATAGAAAGTAATTTTACATGGACATGCAAAATGATATATAGAGTGGCGAGGCTGGGCCGAAAAATGGCACAGAATTCCGTAATACACCACCATTTAATGAACTCTTTTTTGGGTTGGGGACAGGAGGTGAAGGGATACGTATAAAAGCTGATTTCAGTTGAAGTATTAAAAATTTTTGTCTAGTGCTTAAAAATGATGAATATAAGATATTTCTGTTTTTAGCTAAGTCCTAAAAACTTTGCAAAGTTTATACACATATTTTTGGGTTTTAGTTGGCAGAAATTATCCAGGGTTTAGGCTAAGATAAATTTCACCTAGTGGTTTGCAATACAAGGTGATAAATTTATCATCTGATAGAAAATTTAAATTTCTACTAAAATGAAAAGAAGAGAATAATAATTGTTCCTTAAAAGACTACTAGAAAACATGTTTTAGGCATGATGTTTGACCCTTTTTATGTCTCTTTAAAAACTTACTTCTTTATCATCCTTACACAAAAAGTAATAAAAAACCCTATATCACTGTACTCTTAAAATGGTCTATAAAACTTCATTAAATAACCTTTTAAAACACATACTTGATAAATGTCTGGCTTGAGCAGAACACCCTTCCTCTGATAAGGAAATTACTGGAGATGACATCATAATAATTAGTAAGAAGTCTTCCTGTTGCAATTCACTCTTTAAATTTATCATCCTTTATATCAGGGAAACTTAATAAAGTTTGAAATAGAGCACTATCTGATCATTGGGCCAGAGAAGAGGTAAAACTGGCAGATAAAAGATGTTAAAAAGAGAGACTGGTCTATATTTTCTTGCATATACCAGTGGAATGTTTTTCATGTATGTAATTATAAGCATCAATTTTACATAATTTATTATCATAATTATAATTTTTATTATTATAAATGAGGTCAAAACAACATCTGTAGCATCAACAATTTTCTACCACTCACTACTGATTAATAATAATAATAATAATGATAATGTATATTAAAAGTTTGTTTGTATACAGTTTGTTTTTATTATTTCTTTGTTTGTTTGCTTACCTATTTATTTATTTATTTATTTAGTGCATATCCTATAAAGTGCCACAGTTTTCATAATAAATCCATCTGTTTCCAGCCTCAGTAACACCACCCAGGTGAACACCACTGTGACCAGCACCACTCTGGCCACCACCAGCACCACTAAGGCCATGGTGGCGCCACTGCCCGCCAAAGGGGCAGCCGAGGAGGAGCACCACAGTAGCATGACCATTTTCTTTGTACTTTCTGTGATTGGTAAGAACACTTCCACTACGACCCCATTCCCAGAGATTAGATCGATCCAAACTAGATCGACCTAACTCCCTGGGGGTTCACGCTAAATAGCTGTCAGCCGAGCGGGCACGAAAGTTAATTACCCCCTTACAGCATGTAGTAGGCGGGACAGACATTTAAGCCGGATTATCTGAAAGTAATCTAGTGAGACCCCCCATGGGGATAGATCGATCTAAATGTCTGGTAATACGCCCTACTTCTAATACTTCCATAAGGCTCTTTATGTATCAAGTGGTACACTTAATTTAGTGATTATCCCCACAGATTTAGATCGATCCAGCTAGTACAATGAGTTTATGGGAATGCTCCCTTTAGAGAAGCCCCCATGTGGCACAGCTGTTAAATACATATAAAATCTAAATCCTTACTTGAATGTTATGCACAGTATAAAGTGCAGGTAACCATAATTGTATTTTATCGCCACCATAGTGGTGGATTGGTTTTACAAGCAGCTTCTAAAGTATAAATATCTCTGAATCATCCACACAAAATTGTTCCGTACATAATATACAGCTTCTAGATTGAATGGATGCAGTTTTATTGTAGCTGTCATATTTTCTAGCCATCATTTTTTCACTGAACTTTTTAAAAATGTCTGAATTATGACAAAGGATATTGTTTTATCAGTTTTTTTATGAAGATAATTTTATACTTTCCAGCACTCTGTGTTTTGATCATCCATGTTTTGCTCAAGTTTAATTTCACATATCTACCCGAGAGTATAGCCATAGTCATAGTTGGTGAGTACATAGTTGGTATCTTGGTTAATATCATGCAGACATGCTTATATGTGACATATTTCTTTTTTTCTTTAGTCATTTTTATCATGGAGATCAAGGCTGGTAAAGCTCACTTGTGACAGTAATGTTAAAATTTTATACCTCGAAAACAAGGCTATAGATTTTTCTAATGGTTACTGTTTTTGGCATTGAGAAAAAATTTTGACTTTTTCTTTTTTCGCTGTTTCAAGGTCTAAATTGCTATATAATACCTTGAACCCATTATCGGCATTTCTTTCGTGAAATGTGTTGGTGACCTATAAAATATTAATGGAAATCTGTCTCTTGATTGGGTTGCCATGGTGTTGTAATATTTAAATACTTTGTTACCATTAGATAGCAATAATCATGAAATATTCATTAAATACTATAAAAGGCATACTGCAGGTAGAGGGAAGGAAGGCACTGGGATAAAAATGCTTTGCCTCACTTTGCTTGGCAAATGTAGAATTGTAGAAGAAGGCAATTATTTATGTTAAAAAAAAACACAGGAATTGAATATTTTTATTTTTAAATATTTTAAAGGATTTTAAAATTCGGTTTGTATTTAGAAGATTCACACTTAGTAATTCAGAAAATAAACTCCTAATAATTAATAAAACTTGTTTTGAAAAGTTAAAAAATTGACTAACGAAGAGTTGTTTTAATATGAATATTAATCTCTAGATATTTCTGTTTTGTACTTTTTCAGTCCATGTATCTTGTCTTAGTTCTATACAATTTAACACTGAATCAAATATATTTCAGGAACAATTCTTGGTGGAATCCTGAAGTTATTTTCTAGTTATGGTATTGGGAATTGGCAGGTGGGTAAAATAATAATAATAATAATAATAATAATAATTGTAATAATGTCATAGTAAGTGCCTTTACCTTTCCCAGATATAAGTTCAAACAGATTTTGCTTGTCAACAGAAGGGTCACTTACGACTGTAAAATGAACTTACATAAATTGCATTATCAATTAATTAAAAAAAACGAGGGGTTTACTGTCAGGAACAATGGACTTGCTCTGTGGTGTTCTAAAGAAGTCCCATTATGTGTCAGCCATCTAAGGCACAATTTCCTGAACATTGGACCTTGTGTAAAAATATTAAAATTTTCAGGGAATTTTTCCTGTCAAGTAGATTGTTAAAGAGGAGAATCTCATGGTGACTGTAAAATTTTCATGGCTATATATGTTCCTTTTACAGAGCGAAGAGGCTTTTGATCCTACTATGTTCTTCTTGATTCTTCTGCCTCCTATTATATTTGAGTCTGGTTATAACTTGCACAAGGTAGGTCACTTATGGGTTATTGCGCATGCGTGCGCGTGCATGTGTGCGTGTGTGTTTGCATGTGGGAATTCATGTATGTTTGCCATAGATACATATATGGATGTGGGTTTACACACAGTCTTAGTATATTAGCACATTCAAGATGCGAAGTTTCTGCGTGGTATGTTTGTTCATGCACATGCCAGCATGCGTGCTTGTTTGGTGTATGTGCATAAACGTGTTTATTATGTGCATATGCATTCTAGTATTTGTCCTTGTGTCAGTAAGTAAATGTGTTGGATGTGTCGGCCTTTAATTCTGAATTTTTGATGTGAATTCAATTTTTTTTTTTTTTTTTTTTTTTTTTTTTTTTTTTTTTTTTTTTTTGGTGAGGGGGTGGGGGGGGTGAAATATAAAACAACTCTCATAATTTTATGAAGACATTCTTATATATGTTGTGAAAAATAGTGCATGAAAATGACAAAATTAATATAATATAATATAATGTCTTCAGGGTATGCCAAAATTATGTTCAATTTCATTTCTTTGAACTTTTTAGATACGGTTGTAAAATTTATTAGATTCATAATAAGTTGATATTGTTATTTCCTTTATATATGGACTTGTAGATTTTATGTTTTTGTTCCTGAATTTTACCCACAAAATTTATATATTTATTTATATCAGTATTTCCTTTATATATTCCTGAAGTGTATGTTATTTTTCAGGGTAATTTTTTCCAAAACTTTGGCTCCATTTTGGTATTTGCTGTGATAGGGACATTTATCTCTGCCATGATCATTGGAGGTGGGGTCTACTTACTGGGACTGGTGAGAGCAAAAAACATTTCACTTTTTGTTTAAGATTTATCTTTGCAAGGATACTTGATGACATCAGTTTTTGAGGAATTTAATATTTTCATGTTTATGTGTAAAAGATATGTATTGCACAATTTTATTTTCAAAAATTGGTTTCTCAAGTTGTAAAGCTAAGAGAAATTAGTTTTCTGGACACACTGTATGAGTGCATTCCCAGAGATTTAGATCGATCCATCTGGATCGACCTAACTCCCTGGGGGTTCACGCTAAATTGCAGTCAGCCGAGCGCTCACGACAGTTAATTACCCCCTTACAGCTTTAAGTAGGCAGGACAGACGCTTAAGCCGGCTAAGCTGACAGTAATCTATTGAGATTCCCCACAGGGATAGATCGATCTAAAATCTGTGGGAATGGGGTCTATGTCAAGTTGTAAGACCACCAAGTCATACCTTCCTACTATTTTCTCTACAAAATCATGTCAGTGCACAACACGTCCTGTAAAATCAATTTACTCCTCTCCTCCAGGCACAGGTAGCTTACAAGTTAAGTCTGGTGGAAAGTTTTGCATTTGGTTCCTTGATTAGTGCTGTGGATCCCGTTGCCACGCTGGCAATATTCCACGCGCTGGATGTGGACCCCGTGTTGTACATGTTGGTGTTTGGAGAGAGCGTGTTGAACGACGCAGTGTCCATTGTGCTCACTACGTAAGTATTTTAAAGCACGTTAAAACTCATGATTTATCAGACACTGTCTCTGTAATACATTTGCTTATCATTAATGTTCACATAGGAGAGAGTGTTGAATGAAGCCTTGTTTGTTGTTATCACGATGATAGCAGAAAATTATACTATTAATAATATTAATAAAGACAATAGCTATAAAAGTTATAATTTTAATATATCTGATTAGATTACTTTTAATATAATTGTTATAATGATTTTTACTATTAGATGATACTATAAGTATAATTGTCATTTTTTCCTGGCAGCAGAAACAGCCTGAAAGAACAATAAAAGTAGTATAATAATTGTAAGCAGCATGTACAGTTATGTACAAGATTTTCCTTTCCTGATTTCAGAACTGTCTTAGAACTGGCTAGCCCCAGCGCTTCCGCCATGTCTGGTGCCGAGGCTTTCTTCTCCACTGTGTGGAGGTTCTGTTCCATGTTCGTAGCATCTGCCGTCATTGGCACAGCTTTTGGGCTCGTTAGTGCAATGATATCCTTTATTGAAAAAATTATACAGGGATGAGATTTTTCTGACTATGGGCAGGTTTCCAATTTTTGGGGAATCAAAAATATCACAGACTTAGACTTCCCCCCTTGGACACCACGTCACATTTTCCTGCTTTTTCACTAAAGGGCAGTCTTCCTGAATATAGTTTACAGAATTAAAAACATTTTAACAAAGGTAAAAGGTTGCATGTTTATTTTTGGTCTGGCAGTGGATCTCCCCAAACACACACACACACACACACACACACAGAAAAAGAAGAAGAAGACGACAGAGCCACTTAGAGAAGAGATGAACAGACAAGTAGGATTTTGAAGAGGTTTAGTGATTTGGTAAAGATTTTTAAAATCTAAACATTTTTGATAAATTGGTACATATTTGAGTTGAAACAATGATTTTTCATTTATTTTTTAAATATTTTTCGATGATGAGCAACTTATCATTCCTTCCTGCAGTTGCGTTAAAACTGAATTTGCACAGCGCGATGGCAGTTGAGAAATTTCTCTCTTCTTGTTCATACGGTTTCCATTCACTGACTTTCTGTACAAAGCATACATAAATGATAACCTCTCTGTTTGCATATGTGGGCTTTTAGCATGTTTTTATATGTAATCCTTTCAGTTTTTGTTTTATTGCAACTCTGAATAATTTAGCACAATATGTGCACAGGTTTACTTCTATAAATATGTTGTACTCAAAGTGTTTTTGGAATGTTCATCTTATTTAGGGTCAAAAACCATTTATCAGATATTCCAATGCCATTATTAAGAGCAAAAGTTGGTAGACATTTTATCGTTTTAGCAACCATTGCTCTTTGAAAATAGGTTGCGGAAAATATATTTATTTTAGTCTGTATTTAGCAGCATTTTTATTAAAATGCCCATAATGACTTTACTCTTCTCTTCAACTTATTTTGCTTTGGCTAGCTTAAAATGGAGGGCAATATTCCAAATAGAATAGAAAATATGTATACAGGAGCATATGTGGATGCTAATGCACACGAGCACGCATGCATGTACCCACAGATATACGCGCACACCTTTTAATGTTTTCAAGTAAATATGATTCTGTAGATTAATGAAACATTGCCTTATATTATTTTTATATATGTATTTTTATGTTAANTTATTATTGAATTTATGCAATTTTGTGTGAAATTTTCATTTTTCTCATTCTGGCATTTTCAAAGTGTGAACTTGAACTCCCATGGGCCTGAAGCCTTATGCTTGTTACACATTTTACTTACATTGGTATTACCTGTTGAGCATAATTAAAATTTGATGTTGAATTTGTAGTTAAGCATAATGTATTTTTACATCAGAATTGACAGTAGCCTATTTTTTACATTGTTATTTCCTGCTTTTTGTCTGTACATTTGACAGCTTTGCTGCCTTGTTTAATGTATTCATTAACTTTTCTATAAATGAAGTAAAAATCTCATTTCCTTAACACTGTTACTTATTAAAATTTGTTGACCTGAGAAAGACTCCATCCCTGGAGTTTGGTTTGATGCTGGTGTTTTCTTATTTACCTTACGGACTGGCAGAGGGACTGAAATTATCAGGTAGAAAATGAAAAAAAAAAAAAGGTCTACAAAACTCTTTTTAAACTTAATGGTACAGAACTTTTTTCATGTAAGAGAGAGATTGATGATACCAGGGAGAAAAAGAAAAACAATACTAATTTTATTGATGGTGAATCGCTCTATTGGGTTAAGGAATTGAAATTTGTTAGTTAAAAGCTAAAAAAAATTTTTTCTGTATATGGCTCAATTCACTTCAAAACTATCTGAAAAACCAGAAATTGACCAAATTGTCATTTCTAAAACATAAGAGGATTAAATTTTTGAAATTATTATTATCATTATTGTTTTTGTTGTGTTCCAGGCATCATGGCTATCTTATTTGCTGGTATTGTGATGTCTCACTACACCCATCTTAACCTGTCTCCTGTCACCCAGATCACCACACAGCAGACCTTCAGAACTGTGGCTTTCATGGCAGGTGGGCACACACAGAACATATTCCTTAGTTGTCATAATAATAATGAAAATCACATATAACTTTTGTAAAAGCATTGTGTACAATATGCAGCTTTTAAGATTTATACTTACACTTATAAAACATAAATGTACCATATAAAATTAAGATTAGGTCTTGTATTATCTGAATTGTAAATTATACTAACTAATGTTCATTATTAGTAGGAATTTTTTTTAAATTTATTTTTTACATTTCAGAAACCTGTGTGTTTGCCTACCTGGGGCTGGCTATTTCCAGTTATTCACATATTGTCAAACCATCCTTTGTTATTTGGAGCATTGTAAGGAACTCCGATTTTGAAATTTTCCCATGTACAATGAGATATTTTATCAGATCTTCAGATTTATTACGGCATTCTAACTGAGGCATTAAAAAGCTTTTTAGACTATTTATAATTACCAGATATAAAAGTATTTTATTTCATAATTCATTGCTATGTAGGTATTAATAAGAGAAACTGATATGAAGTTTGGTTGTGGCATAAAATTGTTAGTTTAATTTGAAGTACATTTAAGATGAAGTGTGTGGAGCAGAAAGTGTCTAATGGATATACTGTTAATTAGGTATTTTATTATTTCAGGTGTTATGTTTAGTGGGACGAGCATGTAACATATTTCCCTTGTCATTTGTCATGAACTACTTCAGAGAGCATAAAATTACACGGAAAAACCAGTTTATTATGTGGTTCAGTGGTATGTAGATAGGGCACACCCCCCTCACTCTCTCTCTGCTACTACTTTGTAATACCAGGTGTTGTTTACATGATAATAGCTACGTATACAGGGCATACATATGTATACACACACACACACACATCATATTTCACTAAATTATATACTAGATACCTGATACATGAATAGCATATGAAGTTGACTTATCACTTCTGTTACCATCATATGAAAGGTTGGATTTTGATGGCTTCATCATTATAAAAGAGCAATTACTTCCTCAGTTGAAAAAAAGGTTATTATTATTATTATTATTATTATTATTATTATTATTATAACAATCAGGTTTACGAGGAGCCATTGCATTTGCCCTGAGCCTTCATCTAGAGTTCACATCAGAAGTGCGCCATGTTCTCCTGACGACAACTCTCATTATTGTTCTGTTTACATTGATGGTGCTAGGGGGAGCCACATTGCCCCTTCTCAAGGTAAGAAACCCATAACAAGTAAATATTTATTTTATTTTGTCCCCATCTCAAAGAAAGATACCCAAAGCAATTTAGTCCCTTTTCAAGGTGTGACACGCTCTCAATTTAACATATGTGAATCATATATTGTTATAATTGTGACTGTAGGCTTTTGATTCAAATTTAATTAGCATGTCATAGTTTGTCACATTTATGTAAATGTAAATCATTTATTTTCAGTTACTTAAGGCAGAAAAAAGGAAGAAGACGAAGCCAGGCCGAGAGCTGAACCTTAGCAAAACAAAAGAAATGGTAGGTTTTTTAGATATTTTATTTTCTTCAACTAAACCCAAATTCAAACATTTTGGACTTGTCCTTGAATCTTACTTTTATGTTATATCATCTGTGTTTATGTCCACATTATATTAGATTTTAAAAGTTAAGATTAATGGTTGTAATGATTCATGACCTTTGCTCTTTAAGTTGCTACACGTTTTTTTGTTTTTTTTTTTTAAGTTATGTAATGTTGTGTTTTAATGCTTAATGTTTTTCTATCCCATCCTATCTTATTTTGTTCTATTTCAGGGTGACACAATAGACACAGATCATTTATCAGAGCTAACAGATATGGAAGATGAAGTGAATTATGTGAAACCACATCTGAAAGGCTTTATGAAAATAGACGCCAAGTATTTAGTGCCCTTTTTAACAAGAAGATTAACAAAGGAGGTAAATATTTATTGTTAAGACATTTAAATTAATTTTTTTCAGTAAGTGTTTTTTAGTTTCTATATTAATTAAATTCAGTTAAACTTCAGAAAAGAATACCTGTAAATTGTCCTTTCTGTATTCAATTATTTTCACTAAGTGTTTTATTTGTAATTGGCTAATGCCTAGTGAATAGTTTCTTTAATTACTTGCATTTTCACTTTTTCATACAAAGATGCATTTTTGATCACTGAAACAAAGCAATGTGCCATTGGGCAGAAGTGCAGGCTAACTTAAAAAAAGATGGATGTTGAACCATAAAAACCCTGTATGCTCTTCCTGAAACACAATAATAGCAACTGTGTATATTATGATATATATTAATTTTCAACAATTTTTCTTACTTTTGCATGCCTGTAAACCCATTTTGTCATGTGGTGATTTAATATATGAACATTTGCTTAAAAAAGAGAGTCATGAGAGAAAAGATAAATGCATATGAATGCTGATAAAAATGGATAAAAAGCATGTTTACAAAAGGCCACTATAATAATCTTTTCAATAAAAGGATAACAGCAGTGCAAAATTTAGGTCCAAGATTAGGAAAGACAAAGGCATCTGTTGCTACAGTGTACTACATTAGAATGTTAAATCTTATCAATCTGAAGAGGCAGAAATATGTCTGCTCACGGATTAAAGTTCCTGACTTCTTACAGGACATAAAGGAGGGTCACATTCAGATAAAGCAGTTGACTAGTAAGTGGTGCCAAGAACCAGGCATCCTCAGTGATGAGGAGGAGGAGGAATCTGATGCTGACTCCACAAATATAGATGGCGCCTCTGTCAGCTACCCATTAACTAGCCCAGTGCAGCCTACTAATATTACTAGTACTGCTATTATTGAAGTACAGACCACAGCAGATGAAGTATTAAAAGCTTTGACATGTTTTGTGTTCAATGTTTTTTATTTGTTGCAGCAGGAGAAGGGAATGAGGTTGGGTGGTCTGTTAGTTGACAGTGTGGCATGACGGCTATTTATTTGTTTGTTTTTTCATGAATTTATCATTTTTTATGTAAAAGAAGTACTGCGGCAGTTGAAAATCAAAGTTTGTCTTTTAGGGGAAAAGGGCACGCACCCAAGGTGGATATGGTTGTGCATTTTGTAAATGAATTATTGAATGGTTTTATTTTTATCTGTCAGAAATATCAGGGTTTAATGGCACTTGTTTAAGGTGTTTTGATTTAGCTCCTTGTGTAGCTTGATAGTAGCTTGTCTTATAGGCATAACCACCTGTCTACAAACACACATCTGGGATAGCAAGGAATGTCAGAGGATTATAAGTTAGTTGCCTGATGTAATGTTGAGTGTTTTGCACTGCACCCTTCCACCCCACATGGCTCTCTCCCACCCTTTGAGTGGGCATGCAAGTGCAGCAGGGAGGTCCATCTTGTGTGAAGACACAAAGCGTCAGCTGAGTCGAGGGCAAAAATAAAAATATATGGTGCTTCTTGTGAAAAAAAAAATGATAGCAAGAGGGTTAAAAATGCTGCATGTGAGCCTGCAACTTATTCCTATTATTTATTTATTTATTTATTTATTTACCTGTCCTGCACAGCACTGTGGTAGCTTAAGGGCAAAGGGTTCTGTCAAACTTTTTTCCAGAGGTTTTTTTAATATGGGGTCACCATTTTCAATTTCAGGAGCTACGTGATGGCACCAACCAGATGAAGACATTGACCAATCAGTGGTACCAGGAAGTCAGGGCAGTTCCATCAGAGGACGAGGAAGATGAAGAAATGCAAAATCTCACAGCACAGGAAATCCGATAGATTTTCGACCAAGTTTTGTCATGGATGCTGTCATCGCAGGCCCATGTTTAAAAACTTTTTACGCAGGCATTCATCCTTTTAGACATCTCAAAGAGATGTAACCTAGGACTTTATAAGTTGAATTGCAGACAATATCCAAGCATCTTGATAGATCAGGAATGTTGCAATTTAAAAAAACTACAATTTTTGTCTAGTTTTCTTTCAAAGAACAGGTTTGAGGTTGTGACGTTTCCTTGTAAATAGCATACAACTATGTCATTTTGTAGCTTTGACTGTCACCACACCCAGTATATTGTAAACAGAGATGAAAATGGTGTATGGCATGGCATAGTATATGGATTTTAACTGTTACTGTTAAAGTGTTGAACTACACCAGCTACATAAGTCATTTTTATATTCACATTTTTTTTATTTTCAAGCAACGATTGTTTTGGTTCTTTCTATCTTCAGTGTTTTAGGAAGGAGAGGAAGATTATATCATATACTCAGTGGATTGTGGATAACCAAATTATATTGTATTTCAACAACAACAAAGTTTTCCCCACTGCTACCTTTATGTTCTTCATCCCATTGTGAATGATATTATCCAATTCTGATAAAATATTTTTTTTATGTATCTTGGCTGTAGGTGAGAAATCTTCATCAAGTACATGACTTAGTGTATTTAAACGGAAAAATGGGTAAATTTATCTACAGGTGTGTTAGAATTCATGGCACTCTGAATCTTATATATAAAATACCCGTTAATAAGTCAGAGAATGTAGGAATATATTTTTAGGTGTTGTACAAAGTCTGCGATACATTGGGGAACTCAGTTTACATCTGACAGGTAATTGATCATAATGAACATCACAGAAAACACAATGGAGAGAATTATCTGAGTACTATTCTTATATGTATTTTATAGACGAGTTTTTAAAATTGTTTATTAGCAGATAGTTCTTCTAAGCTGCAGACTCAAAGTTTAAAATTATTTATTTATTTATTTTTGTGCTAAGTGTAGCTCTGCACGTCTATCATAGATATTCAGTATCTTCACTATACACTATATGTTACCTTAGTGTGTGCTGGATTCCCATATAATTGTAGAAACTTTGGTACAACAATACATGACTTGAAATTGTTTTCAGAACTGTTGACATATATCATTTGCTACCATGTAGCACTTAATTTAGTTTTATCTCGTATTAGGCATGATATTTGAACTGATATTTGAGCATATTTAAAAAATGGTCCAAAGAAGAAAAAAGATTGTTAAAAGTACAGGTGCAAATGTTTTTTTTTTTTTTTTTTTTTTTTTTTTTTTTTTTGCCTTCATATTTTTACCTAACTTTAACTTAATTTCACTTCATCTAACATGTTTGTCATTTTCAAGAATGTGAATTACTGTTAAGCATTTAATGTTATCACTGATACTATTTGAGACACAGAGTTATCTGCTAATCTTTTTTTTTTTCACTAACTTAAGCATGAGAAGCAAGAAAATGTACAGTATGATTAACTTTTTTTAAATACTTGATGTTACTAAATGAGGAATAGAGTTCTTTTTCAATCTTGATATTATGTATAAAGTAAAAAAGACAAAAATAACATTCCTACATGTTAGTTTGTATTGAATAGGAGTGCCATAAAAGTTGGGGTAGGTAGGGGGGTATTACTGTGAGCGAGTTGAAAATGCCCTACTTGGAGTGTTACCTCCATTACTGTATATGTGCAAAAGAAAACTAAGAGTTGCTGTATTTTGTGTGTAATATTTGAATTTGGTGCAAAAAAAGGAGCTGGGGTTTTGACAAAATGATCAGAAGTAGAATTAAAAATGTGTTTTTCTGTGTACCCGTATTATTCCCGTCAGGTCCAGGGACATATTTTCATGACATATTTTTTGTAATTGTCCAACGATGTTAATAAATGTTAACAATAATGATTTGTTGCATTCTTTGATATTTAGATGTGAGGGAACTTTTAACCAATTAATCAATAAATGAATCCCCATCATCTACAAATGAAGTGGGTGGGATGCGTTTTTCTGTTTGATACGAAACCTTTTTTAATTGACATCCCTAATTTTTTTTTTTTTTTTTTTTTTTTTTTTTTTTTTTTTTTTTTTTTTTTTTTTTTTTTTTTTTTTTAGTGTATATAAATAGATATGAGTTGATTAAAAGCAGTGCTGCTCACTTTTTATCGCCACTTTACCTATGCCCTCCTGGGACCATTTTAAGGTCAAGGTCGAATCCTGCTCGTTACTGCCTTCTCGTTTGGAAGTAAGCTTATCTCTGAAAATAACAACAAAACGCGAAATGAAACAGGGAGTGATTATCTAAACAATTTCACTAGTCCAGCGCCAGATTACCAGAGGCCTATCTACTGTAGAACCAATGGCTTCTGTAGCAGAGCGTTTCACGTGCCCAATATGCTGCGATATATTTCAAAAACCAGTACAGCTGCCCTGCAAACATGTGTAAGAAGATATTTTTTTCCGGGTTGGGGACTTTCATTTCCAGTCGAAGCAGTCTGTGAAAGAATGTATCACGAAAATTTTTAGATCTAAGAGAATGTAACTCGTTCATACTGCATTTTAAATAAATTCTGAGATACTGTAGTTAACCATTTTTTACACGATAATTGAAGTGCTTTAATTTTTAGGTATTGTCGACAGTGTCTTGAAAATGCTGCTAAAAGAGGACGAGACCTACATGTATGTGCAGTTTGTAAGGATAATTTTAACTTACGTGATGTGCAGCCGACTCCAGATATTGAAAGAAGATTAGACATTGAAAAGGATGCTTGTCGTGGATGTAAAAAACTGGTGAGGGCAAATATACTGGTAGTATACCCCAGTACTACAAAAGTTTAAAGTTTTCTTAAAAATTTATTCGTTACATAAATGCCAGTGAGGCAGATAAACAGTCCATGCTTTTAATGATATATGTATGTAGTCTTTGTATTGCTTATGGGAAATAATCCAAATTTGTTTAGGTATATATTTAAAAAAACATATACATGAATGTTTTGTTCCTAAATCCCAAATGCTGTCTCTATATAATACTTATAACTTCTTTTAAAATCAGGTAAGGATATTTAATGGACATTGATTGAGTTCTATAAAATATCACTAATTTCCATATTAATTTTTTTTCTTACCACAGATGACGTTGTCAGAATTAAGGATGCATACATCGATATGTGCAGAATTATTAAAAACTGTGAAAGAAACTAGATTTAAACCAGTAGCTAAGTCTTCTCAACACATCCCCAGGTAACTAAATCAGCAACAGTGAATATTTTTAAAAACTAAGTCTTACCTCAGCTGTTCACTGGAAGATGGCTCAGTGTCCAGAAGTATATTTTAGAAAATGAAATCAGAGTTAAAGAAACAACTGACCCAATGACAAAAAATGGCTAGTAACTGAACTGAGTACTGTTACAAATTTACTGGCAGCTGATCTCCACAAGAATGTTTGATAATTTTCATCAATTTATGAAGGTCAGCACTATTTGTTTTAAACCTTACATCAAATTTTGTGAGCATCTTAACACTGCCAGACTGCAGATGCTTTCCACAATGGTTACATAATGACTCAGACTTTTCAATGGGAGGAAAATTGTGATTTTTACAGATGCTATGTTTTAAGTCATAATTCCTTTAAATTTGAACATTCCTATCAAGTGGTAGCAATAAAATTGAAGAGCAGGCTATCCTATAGTTAATTTTTTTTTTTTTTTTTGCAGTAAAAGCACCACAAATGCTATATAGAGGTATAATTTTTATGATTCTAAAATAATGTATTTCAGTGATCGATAATTTTTGCCCATTGAAAAGATCAAGTTATAACTGTAATTGACAATGTCCAATAATATTATTTTATAACTTTATCAAGACCATTTGTTTTAAACTCTGCATCATGTTTCTCTCCAGTAATGTGCCAAATCGCTCCACCTTCAACTGTCCCTTCTGTGCGGAGAAGAATTTAGATTGTGAAGGTCTGCGAGAACACTGTATGGGAGCACACAGACATTGTGACCAGAGAGTGGTGAGTACCCTTATATTATATTTATTTATTTTTCATTTATTTCAATTATTTTAGCAGAGGCCTGCTTCATAAACTGACCATGGAGAAAGTGAAATTCACTCTCGATAAAGACTACCATGGATCTTTGCAGACTTAGGCTTCGTTCACATGCAATGTCTATTTTCTAAATTCTACTTTCTATTTGCGGTATGTCTTATGATCACGTTCTGTGGCCTGAATATCCCGCGGCGTAATTACTGGCAGCACGAGCCAGTTACTATAAGAACGTGATCATAAGACATACCGCAAATAGAAAATAGAATTTAGAAAATAGACATTGCATGTGAACGAAGCCTAAGATCCCTTTTTTAGTTGTGTTTCATTTTTGTTTTATATTACATATAAGTCCAATTTTCTTGTAACTAATTGCGACAGTTGTGAACTTGTGACATTAAATGGTTTTATATTATAAGCAAGTCCAGTTTGCAGAATTGTTTTAGATATGTTACATGATTAACAGTGTGTTGTGTTACAGGCAAGTCCAGTATTAAATGTGTTAGTTGTGACACGCATTTATTTCCTATACTGATACAGGTATGCCCAGTGTGTGCTGCCATGCCTTGGGGTGATCCCAACATGAAAAGTGCCAACTTTCTACAACACCTTAATACCAGACATAAGTTTGAATATGAAACATATGTGGTAAGTATTTTGTAGTGAGAATGTATATCAGCTTTGCCATTAATTTCATGGATTTATTCCATTTATTTTTGTTATTATTCAACACATTGAATTATGACTGAAAGAAAAGACAAGAAATCCAAAGGCAGTTATATCTATACTACTTATAATTGGAACTTTTAAAAAAATTAATATAAAATGAAGTTACTTTATGATATGAATATAAAATATGACACTTATGAGAAGCATTTATGAAAATTATTTCCCATATATCTTTTAGGATTATGGTGAAGATGAAGATGCCATGCTCCAAAAAGCAGTGCAAGCCTCTCTAAATGATAATTAAAAATAGCACTACACTTTGATGGAATAACATATTGACTGGAACTTACTGAAGGGCCTCATAATGCACAACTGCTCAGCTGGCTGCATAATAGTATAAGCACAATGTCAGGCTCTTACTTTTGGTGCAATTCTAATATTAAGCTGGAGAAAAATACCAGGAAAAAACAACTAGTCACTGTAAAACATAATTTGTTTGAAGGAAATGTTTGATAATATTGTCTTTGGTAACAGTTGTCTTATTTTAAAGAGTCAGTCTTTGGATATCACAGCATTTTAATGGAACTTCAGAGTATTGTGCGTAGGTAATGTCCTTCTTTCTCATTAAAATATTCTGTATATGTATCATATGTCATAAGAGGCCTGTTAAACGTTTTAAAATATGTTTAACGTTTACTCATACTTTTCATATGTAAGGATATAAAGAAGAGGTTGGAGATGAGTTCAACACTCTTTTTATTAAGTTTGTAAATAGGTTAACTTATGTATTGTATTTAGCAAATGTATATACTGTAATGCTTCAGTGCAATTAATGTAATGTTTTTTTTTCTTGATGTTTACAAATAAACTTGAGATTAAATGAAAGACTTTTAAAGTATGATTTAAGATGTATTTTCATTAAAATAACCAAAAACCTAGAACAATTTTAATATTAAAATGACACGAATCTTTATGAATTTGTTCACAGTGGGATCATCTTTTTCCTTCAAGTTGCACACTTGTACACAGTCCTGTTAAAACATAGACCTTAAGTTTGAAACACCTGCAGTCATGAATATTCCACTTGTAATCATATTATGGCCCTCAAAACATCCAATCTAAAACTGTTCCTCAGATATTGGAAACATTCCCTTTGCGTGCTGTGGTTTCAATTGTTATCCACAAAATTAAGGTGATAGGCGAAATCTCTGAAGTATATCTAATACCTGATGCCATTCTTATTCCTTCCCTCACTCCCTCCTTCTCTTCCTCACTACCACCCGCACTATTTCTTTCACTCACTCCCTTTTTGCTTAGCAAAAATCAATTAACATGTGAATTGCACAGGGTGAGTAATTTTGAGCAATCTGACAAAGAGTTGAATCTTAATTATCAGTATGCTTTTAGTTACTCAAAAGGATCCGAGGCATTCTGATAATAGACTGAGGCTAGTTTTGAATAAACTGAAACTTGGGTGTTGGTGGAAGAGAGCCATGCTGATGATATAATAAGTTTGTTTCCATTTATCTGTGAAATTCAGGGTGGGCAAATTTTGAACCAGGTATCAAATTCAGACCAACTGTAAACAGCCTTAATGTATACAGGGCCAGTGTTTCACGTCTGAGTTTTGCACCGTTTTTCTGGATGAGGGTATGGCACTCCAAATCTACTGCACAAAGTCCTCAAAGACTTCTCGTATTGCTTGTTCAGTTTTGTGGACTCCTGCAGGGTGTATTTGAGATCCTCGATTTCTTCAAAGAAGCTCTGAAAATTGAGTAAATCAAACTTTTGAGGCATGAATGACAAAAATATCTGTACACACAATGATAAAGGAAGTTTGCTAGATCGGAGAAGTAAATGATTTATCAATTAAAATTATAAGAAAAACAAAAGATTTTGCTAAAAGTGACAATTTTACTAGTAATTACTCCTTTCACCTCCACTGAAATTTAAGTGTTATTCCAGTTAAATATTATGCTAAAAAACAAAAAATAATTTCATCTACCAACCCTTCTTTTACTCACTCATTAACAAACTTGTCAATTTTGTCTAAAAATCAACTTAAAAACAGCCACTATGTCTGTTATTTGTATGCACTTTAATCTGCCAGTCAATTCCTTCAAACCATTTAGCTTAACATTGCAGACTTTTTTAATGGCAGGTGTGTTGACGAAACCAGTTCTTACATGATCTAATCCTTTCAGCTCTTCTGTTAGCTTCTGTTTGATTTTGAGTAGTTTGTCTCTCTCCCTCTTCACTCTGGTTAATTCTCTTTGCAAGGAAGTTGCTAATTAAAACACAAAGCAAAGACAATATCACAGTTCAGTTCAGGGTTTAAAATGAAGGTTAAAGATGACTGAAACATTTAAATTATTTATTGAAATCGATCACTTTTTAAAAATCATTTGTGACATGGATATTATAGAAAAAGAAAGTAAAAAAAAATGGAATATAATATGCGAGTCTATCGTAATGAAACAAAAATGTAAATACAACTGGAGTTCATAAACAAAATGGAACACTGCAACATCTTGTTTGGCTCGCTGTCACCTTTAAAATATGTACAAATACATTTAGCTGATATAGTGCCTAAATATATATTTTTGCATGAAGAAAAACCTTCATACCAGATTGTTTTGGAGATCCAGATCGTGACCTTGACCTGCGGGAAAGCCTGGAAGAACTGCCTTTATCTCTTTCAAGTCTGTGGATTTTGTCTTCTGCTTGCTTCAGTTTTTGTTCCAGTTCTGTCACTTTAATCTAAATAGAATTGATTCATGTTTACATGCCTGGGTCACATAAGTAATAGTACATGGGTGAGGACCCAGGGGGTACATGCCCCTTCCCCTTTTACCATTACAGTTTCAGAGAAACACCCTTCTCAAGCCCTCTCATCCCCCCCTTAAAAAAATGAAAAATTAATGAAACAGTATAGTGAGTGAAACTAAACAAAAAAGAAAGGAATATTTCATCATAAATGTTCTGCCTCACAATACTTACATTTAGAGATGTTATTGTTTCCACGTGCCTTATGTTTGTTTTCATTTCTTTCTCGTATCTCTTCATCAAGCCATTATGCATCGTGAGAAGTCTGGTATTATGCAAATAAAAGACACGAAACTGCATTAAACTGGTTCTTACTTGTGACTGCAGTAAATCTTGTTGTTTAATGACAGGCTGAATTCTCAAAGAAAAAATAAAAATATCTGAAAAAGTTTTTAGCATTAAGTCTTGTATTTAAAGATAATTTCAAATATTGTTTCATACATTCAAAAAATTGATATCATTTTTTTATTTATTTCTTTCTCACTTCATTTTTTGGTATTAGGTGTGTGTGTGTGTGTGTGTGTGTGTGTGTGTGTCTATGTGTGTGTGTCACTCACTTGTTAGTCTTCTCTGCTTCACTGGTGACAGTCACAGCAGGTTTCTTGGGTTGCGTGTAGATCCCAGAATACAGAGATTTTGGAGGATCAGTTTGCATCTGGGCACTGAAAATGCACAACTTCCACATTACTTGTCATCCTTCATAAAAAAGAACCTCTTCTCCCAGCCAAACTTCACTGACAAAATTAATTTTATTGAAACATAAATAGATATCTGTAACACAATGAATTTCAACAAAGCTGTTCTTAATGTGCTGATCAGGTCAGACATTACCATCAAGAAAACACACACAGTTTAAGTGGAAAAAGTACTTTATGTCAAATGAAAGAAATTCAAAAAACAAACAAACAAACAAATAAATAAATAAATAAATAAATAAATAAATAAATAAATAAATAAATAAATAAATAAATAAATGAATGAATGAATACCCTCAGGACTCTACTCACTCTCTAGTTGTTACATATTGCTTCATCATTTCCTGCAATCTCAGTGTCTCCTTCATCTCATTCAGTTCCCTTTCAAGTGCTATATTCTGTTTCTTCATCTTTTTTATCTTCTTACATAGTTTCTCATTCTCGGCAGTTAGCTTTTAAAAAATAATTTTGATTATAATGATAACTAAGAGTGACATATTTAGTGATTTATTAAAAGTTACTGCTTCCCATTACATGCTGGTCATTGTTTACATCACCAGAGGCATCTAGAGTGTTCCAGGTCACAGCCTTCCAAAAACTTAGCCAGAAAATACAAATTTTATGTGATTGCTAAATTAAATAATGGGGTAACTCCTCCCTGCACATTGAACTCTGTATGTGACCACTTGCCAACAAAACCAAGGCCGAACTTAAGCCAACTGAACTCATCTAAAGATTACCCTTAGCCTCAAATTAAAGCTTTACTATTCTTATTACGCTTCCCCGCTCCCCCCGCCCCCCTCTCCCCCCCCCCACCCCCCCC